GCGCGCGGGCTACACGGGCAGCGCGCAGGGCCGCAGACAGGCGACACGCGCGTGCGGTTCAGGGCAGGGCAGTGCGTGGGGTAGCGCGGTAACCGCAGTCGGTCACTAAGCGGATGGTGGGCCCAAAAAAAACGGTCCTACGGACCTACTGCTCTGAAACCATGTCAAGAATCTAGCAGGAATGAATGAACTATGACAGGGTTTGGTACAAGTACTAACCCTAAACTGGGTTGTACCCCATATAGGCTACCCCACTACAGCCTACACAATACAATGTTTTGACATTCCCTTCACAAATAAATACGATACGTGCGCATGATAAAACTTCCACAAAAGCATGACAATATGGGAACACACACAAACTTTTACAACAAAGAAAAAATGAACAATGAAGAAAATGTATCAAACTATATGTTTGTGCATATCTAGGCTACAATGAGGTATACACTAGGGAATACAACTCTTCAAGGGTGGTACATGTTTTTCAACTACTACTAGTAAACTCACTTCCGTTGCCTATGTTGTAATCCGAATTAGAAGATTTATAGGATCGGCTCAAATTGATCGCACATAGTGTAACAACCAGGCCCTCAGATACACTTTTAGGGGCGTTGATGCATCAGGGTCCCTGTAAAAAAAAGGCCGATTTTCAGTGTCCTTGAAAAAAAAAAAAGCCTGATTTTTCAGGGTTCATAAAGAAAACACTCTGATTTCCACCTACGTAATACATTCAACGAACTATGCAGCCTACGGGAATTGAACCGCAAACCTTGCCGTTCCACAAGGTTCCACAAACAACAAAAAATCTAAGCTGTTGGCAAGCAGTATACGGCCTCTTTACGAGTCATCTCGGGCGCTTTTCAGGAAGGATCACGAATGTGCATTCAGTGTACACTTCGATATTAGGCTGAAAACTCAGTGTTGACTATGAAATGAAGGCTGAAAAACCAGTCTCACAAAAATCTAGACACTGAAAAATCAGCGTAGATACACAAAAATAGGCCGAAAATTAGGAATTTGAGGGAAAAAATCCTGATATCGTAGGGCCTGGTAACAACGGAAGTTTGCTAGTGTGGTGGCATACGCTCTCTATCAGTAGAGGGAGAATTAAATATCGACAGAAGTGATTGTAGCAATGCGGTACAAGGGTTTATATAGGAATACAAGGGAATGCGAAGAGTCCTAGCTAGTCATGTACTTTGAGCGGGTACATTCCCCTTAGGACTAATCTAGATCTGGAGAAGTGTTTAAATAGTAAGAAGGGCCTCATATTCATTTAGGTGTACTCTGAGGCCTCAGGGCATTTCTGTAGGAAAACAAGTTTTATCCTGAAATGTCAAGACTGCACTAGGAGAGGTATGCTGAACCGTAAGTGCTACATGTGACAGTATAATGGCATATCAGTGCTACATTTCATATAATACTGTGCAGTAGAGATTTTTGTGGTTTGGCATATTTTACGTAACCGGCACTCAAGCATAACATAATGAGAAGTCAGATTGCAAACATTTTTAAGAAACAAACATTTCAGAATCCATCATCTTCCTCCTGATCATCTTCTTCACTAGCATCACTGTCCCCCCCACTGTCAGCACGTGCATCATCAGCGTGGTCGCGCTTCTCTGCAGGTGCACCCCAGAACACTGCGCCACTCGTCCTCGATACATCCACCTTTGCTGCCTTGCGCTTGGTGGGTCGCCTCTTCTTGGTGATGCGCCACAGTGCCACAACTTCACTCCACTCCATGTCGTACTCTAACAGACTCAGCGTCATGAGGTCGGCCAGCTTCATGTCGCACAAGCTGGTCCGCTGCCAGCTCTTAATCACATTCTGACGTGAGAATCCTCGCTCGCACTTCACTGTGATGAGCGGCAACACCGCCACGGCCGCCCACAACCGCACTAGGTTCAGATAAGCCCTCGGTTAGTCCGCAACTGACAAGATCACCCTCAAGCCCGCATAGAAGGGCTGCTCCTCCTTTGGCGCCCCGGACAATACAGGCAGAAACGTGCGCATCTCCTTCCGCACTTCGCGCTTGTTGACACCTGGTTGGGGGGGGTGATAAAGAAATATACAAGGGCATAATCAATAACGGCGTTTATAAGGGGTACAAGACACACTGCGTTGTTAGTGGGCGAACAGATCCGAGAACTCACCAGGCAGGATCTCATCTCCATCGCGAGCATGAAACATCACCACCAGCTTCTCTACGTGTTCTGTGCACTCTGCGTCCCTCGCCTCTTTCCCACGCGGCCAGGATCTTGGCATGAACAGCTTCGCGGTGTTGAGATTCGACAAGTCGCTAAGCCAAAGGTCCAGGTTGTAAAGCAGCTCCGTCGCAGAAGAGCGACACGTCCCAATGCAAGACTGCAGGTCACCAGCGCTCGTCGTGTAGCCAGGAATCGGCTCCTCGTGCAGGGTGAACCCATGCTCTCTCGGCTGACCGTCGGTGTCCACTCCCTGCACAGTCGCGCGCCTGCTGCATGGTGCACTGTGGCGAGCAAGGAACGACGACAGTTGTGCGCTCGCCCGAGCACCGAATTGTTGCCCACAGTCGACGAAGCGCTCCCTGATGAAAATTTCGGTCCGCCTCAGCTGGGAGTGAACCGCCGTCAAGTCCACCTGTGGTCGGGTTTAGGAGCAGGGAGGATATAGGGCAAAAAGGTTATCTGAGCAACAAATCGCGTGAGAGCACATCAATAAAGAATCTCAGAATAATACCTTGCGCCTCTGGAAGAGACGGTTGAGCAAGTTCAGCTCGACGTATACATCCGCCAGGAAGTACACAAAAAAAAACTAAACTTCAGGCTTGTGAACATGTGGTAACTGCTTGAATCCAACTACTCCAGAAGAACCACCACCGCTGGTAGCACCTTCACGAACCGAGCTATCGCGTCACCGCGGCTTAACCACCAAACGGAATGGATGCCTTGCAGTTCTAGGTTCGTATGGGTGAAGACGGCCTGGAGCTCCTTGAATGCCGCGTGCGAGGTGCTGCTGCGGCCAAGATGCTCCGCCGTTGCTCGGATGATGGCGTCAACCATGCCGAGCTTCGGGAGCACCTCTGCAGAATCTTTAGCGGCAAGTGCCTCTCTGCCAGTCATAAAGCAACAGAAACGGTGTCAGACTTTCAGTTAAAAAAATAGCCGCAGACTGAAACCTCCCACCCGTGGGCGATGCAGTGGCAAGAAACCAGATGTGGGATGCAGAGTTGAAGTCGCCCGGTCAGACCATTGGTCCTGCCGAGCATGACTGGAGTGCAGTCGGTGCTAATCCCTGCGATCTTGCTAAGGGGGAGGTTGAAGCTGTCCAGAAAACCGACGAGCACTGCATACAGGGATCCTGCATCACATTTGTTAACGGTCAAGAGCATTAGGAATTCCGTGGTAACCTCGTGTTCTCGCAAGAATGTGACGAAGACGATCATATGCTTCCCCCGCACGCGGTCAGTGCTCTCATCATAGCTCAAGCCAATAAAGGGGCTTGAGTCTATGAACTCGCGTTGCTTCGCACGAAGATAGTTAGCTGTTGCCAACACTAGTTCCTGGAACCCGTACCTGCGAATGCACGGATAGGCAAACATTGTGTTAGTATAGAACCCGTGGTGAAATCCAGAAGTAAGTTAGCATGTACTTGTCTATAAAAAAGAACCATTGATTTACTTACATTGTGTAATGTTATATCATAAAACTCCCCTTAATTCCTGAAGGAGGGAAGTCTTAATGCGGTTAGTTATGCCGCAGTTGCTCGGAAAATGGTGGTACTGCTGACGTGGGAGTTTCTTGGTGAGAAAGTCAGCTGCCATATCACCAGTGGGGCAATAAGCCAGCCTAACTTTGCATTGTCAACTTTGATCTTGACGAAGAAGAAGCGAAGTGCGATGTGCTTGGTGCGGTTGACGAAGCCGGGCTTGTTTGCAATTTTGATCGCGCTCTGGTTGTTAAAATGAAGTTTGAAACTCATGGATGCTGCGATTCTCGCTTCCTAGAGCAGCTTCTAGAGGTAGGATCATTTGCGAACGACTGACGTGGAGGCAATGAATTCCGCTTCAGCAGAGGACAGTACTACCATTTCCTACTTCTGTGAGTTCCACGAAATTGGTCCGGTGGGCTCAAGGCGGAAAAGGAAGCTGGTTCGAGATCGTTGATTCATACGGTCGGCAGCGTGATCAGCATCCACGTAGCCAACAAGGCTGATTGAGCAGGTCGTGACGGTGGAGTAGGCGAGGCCAATGTGCTGCGTGGAGATGAAGTACTGTAGGGCGCGCTGTAGGTCCGATATGTTCTCCCCTTCGGGTAGCTTAGCATTTTGAGCGAGCTGGCTTGAAATGTAGGATAGATCAGGCCTGCACGTTACCGAAGCGAAAAGAAGACACCCAAGCTGCTGCTGGTAGAGTTGGTGTGCATACCGGTTGACTGGGGCGGTGTTGGGGATGTAGGGTGTTGCTGGTGAGCTGTAAGGGGTGGAGAAATGTGAGAGTACGACGGCTCATGCCAGCTATGCATGCTTTCTTTTATCTTATTACGCTATTGCTAGCTTAGGTTTATTTTATGCATGCATGAATTGCTTGATTTCCTAGGCTAGGTGCTTTCCTATATTTTATTATAGTTATAGCACCGAGCTAGGTTGCGTACACCGAATTCTGAGCTATTCGGTTGCCACCGAATTGCCTTCTACCGAATTCGGGAAGGGTCTGTTCGGGACGCTTCGCGACCCCCAGAACCTTCGCGTAACACCTGGTTACTGCCCCTTGTGTCGAGCCTATATATAGCCTCGTGTTGTACCCAGGTGATCATTCAATTCAAACTCTCTTTTCTGAGCTCGATCCTAGATCCTCACACTTGGTAATCAGAGCCCGTTTAGACGCAAAAGTTTTTTCGACCGCTAAAACCGAGTCTTCAAAAAACCGCGGGGGCGACGCAGTTAAACATCGATTTCGGGTACGTAAAACCGGTTCCGTGTTTTTCGCTCCCCCTCGTTTCGGTTTTTTCGGACGCGCAATGTCAGGCATGGAGGGCCAAGGCGACAACTATGCGACCACGAGCGACATCGCGAGCCTCCGCACCGACATGGAGCAGACGCAGGCGGCGCTACGACGACTCGAGGCCCTTCTGACACACCAACCAGGAATCGCCACCGCAGCAGCAGCGACGGCAGCAGCGAACGTAGCAGCGACAACACCAGCAGCAGTGGCGACACCGACATTTCACGGACCGATGGCACCACTGTCGCCGAACCTCGAAGCAGCACGACCGAGGCTCCCTGAAGCGTTCGATCCCAGCGCGAAGGGATCCGACGTCCGGCGATTCGTGGCAACCCTCGAAATTTACTTCGAGGCCATTGGCTGTTCGACCCCGACACACGACGCAGCAAGGATTCGGCTCGCAGCGACACTGTTACGTGGACCGGCACTGGAGTGGATTTACTACACTGACGTGGCCCGCGGGGAGAAATCGTGGGCGCAGTTTCGGGCAGACTTAATCGAACGTTTCGAACCGATTAACACGACCTACATGGCGCGGCAGCAGATACACCGACACAAGCAATACAGTAGTGTAGCACAGTACACGCAGCAGATGGAGCTACTGTTCAACCGCATCACCGACCTGACCGAAGGCGAAAGAATCTAGGCGTACACAGAAGGGTTAAAATTAGAGATTCGGCGGCAGGTGATTGCGGCGAATTACAACAGCTATCGCGACATCGTGCGTGCTGCCGAGCGATACGACGCGTTGACTCGAGGTCAACCCGAAACACGACGTTTCGCGCCGAACCGTACATTCGGCACGGAGCGATCGGCACCCCCCACGTTCGCCGAACCGATGGATATCGACAAATACGACGCGAAGCAGCAGCCGACAAAATGCGAGTTTTGCGGCGCAGCAGGGCATCAGTTTTTGTCGTGCTACAAAATGAAGAAGGCACGTGCGGCACTCCGGGACGGTAACAGTGGAGCACCCCCGAAGTAAAAAAACGGCAATCGCCAGTAGCCGCGGATCGACCTGGCGATCGCGTAAAGATCCGAAAAGGAGAAAAAGGCGACGACGTGGCGACTTCGGAGCGGGTGAAAAAAGGAGAAAATGATGACGCGAATTTAAAACGTCACGACCGGCCGGCATCAGGGGAAATCGCCGAGGCGAATGGAGGCTCCGCGAAAAAAGACTCTGCACCGACCGGGAAACTCCAGCCGAACACCCACGAAAGTAAGAATTCGTTAAAAGTATCCTATAAAGATACTCTAACGAAAAACATTGCTTCTCGTGGTTTTCAAGCCTTTGAAAAATTCAGGGGAGGTTTAGAGGCCAAGAAAAAGCCTTTAGAAATTATTCAGGTACCTGAGAAGTTGGGCAAAGTACTACGGAGCGTAGAAAAGGGTCGTGCGTTCCGTGGAGTTAATATTCTCTCCCCACAGCATAGTGTTAAGGCTCCCCGTTGCCCACAGGTGAAGCCTACACAGCTGCAAAGGCTTAGAGGGGACATCCAGGCTCAGGAGAAATTATACAAGCCTCGAAAAAATCCTCCTACCCCCCAGGTGAAGTTGGAAAGTGCTGAGTCAGGTATAGGAAATAGGGAAGGTATTCATTTTGATGTACCCTATGATCCTATTAATGAGACCCTCTTTGGCTACTCAGCGCAGCAGAAACCACTACTCCTCGAGGTGTTATGCAATGGGCGATGCCTCCAGGCACTGGTGGACAGCGGTGCATCTCACTCAGTGTGTGACCGCGGAACATTGGAGAAAATTGGAGAGAAGGCGGAGGAGACCCAATTCTCTGCAACAATGGTGGACGGTACGAAGCTTCCCATCCACGGCGAAGCATCACTGCAGCTGCACATAGGGGCGCTAAGGTGGAAGCCGACGTTGCCGATCACCAATATCAAGGGACTAGATTTCATCTTGGGGCGAGATTTCCTGAAGCGGTTCAACCCCGAGATAGATTGGGTCAACAGCAAAGTGTGCATCTACAACAACGGGAAGCGGATAACACTGCAAAGCTGGACGGATACAGGGGACATTCCTGAGACGACACTGGCACGGCTCGAACAGATGGTAAACGAGAGCAACACGGGTTACTTAGCACTGGTCATGGCAGCAGCAGAGGAGGAGAAGCCGAGTTCCGAGCTACCTGCAGCAGTGAAGGAGGTCTTGGAGCAGTACAAGGACATAATGCCCGACGACCTACCTGCAGGCGTACCTCCAGCACGCACCCACGAGCACGAGATCGTGGAGGAACCAGGTGCGAAACCCGTCTCACGTGCACCATACCGACTGAGTCCGACCGAGCTGACAGACATGAAAAAACAGATCGAATATTTACTGGACAGACAACTGATCCGCCCATCCACATCTCCCTACGGTGCACCAGTTCTCTTCACACCAAAACCAGACGGCAGTTTACGGATGTGCATCGACTACCGCGCACTGAACAAACAGACAGTTAAAAATAAATACCCCATACCGCGCATCGACGACTTACTGGACCAACTGCGTGGTGCAACAGTTTTCTCGAAGCTGGACCTACGGTCGGGTTACTGGCAGATCAAGATGGCGGACAACTCGATCCACAAGACGGCGTTCCGTACAAGATACGGCTCCTACGAATACTTGGTGATGCCGTTCGGACTCTGCAACGCACCCGCGACGTTCCAGGCAGAGATGAACCACATCCTCCGGCCCCTGCTGGACGAATGCGTAGTAGTGTACCTGGACGATATCCTCATCTACTCTAAGAACATGAAGGAGCACGTGGAGCATCTGCGGAAGGTGTTCGAGATCCTGCGGAAAAATAAGTTCTACGTGAAGCTGTCGAAGAGCGACTTCGCCCTGAAGAAGGTGCAGTTTCTCGGGCACATGGTGAGTGCCGAGGGCATACACGTGGACCCGCGGAAGATCGAAGCCGTTAAAAAGTGGAAAGTTCCGGAGAACGTGAAGGAGTTACAGCAGTTCCTCGGCTTCGCCAACTACTACAACAGGTTTGTGCCGCAGTACGCTAAGATAGCAGCGCCACTGACAGACCTACTGAAAAAGGATACGCCCTTCAAATGGGATACTCCTCCATGGATCAGCTACAGACAGCACTGACCATAGCGCCAGTACTCATCCTACCGGATCCCGAGAAGGACTACGTAGTTGAAGCAGACGCTAGTGACCAAGCAGTTGGAGCAGTACTGATGTAGGATCACGGGAACGGTTTAACGGTTTACAGCCTATCGCCTACCTCAGTAAGAAGTTACACGGAGCAGAACTGAACTACCCCATTCACGACAAGGAAGCCTTAGCTATAGTCGTAGCCTTCAAAGCGTGGAGGTGTTACCTAGAGGGAGCCAAGACCACAGTCTACACTGACCACTGCAGTCTTAAGTACCTGAAGTCGCAGCCGACGCTCTCACGACGACAGGTGCGGTGGGTGGATTTCTTGGAAACTCACTTCCACTACGACATCGTCTACAAACCCGGGCTCCACAACAAAGCTGACGCGTTGAGCCGCCCCGGTCATGTAGCAGGCATCCAGCTCGACGGGATGAACCCTCTGCTCAAGGGTCTATTCCAACATGGGTACTCCGTGGACGGCGAGATCGCAACGGCAGAGAAACAGAAGCTGTTACAGTGGGAGAAAGACTTAGCGGTAAGGAAGGGTTCAGGAAAGATTTGGGTACCGAACTACGCCCCGCTACGGCAGATCCTTCTAGAGGAGTTTCATGACGTACCATACGCGGGACATTTCGGGAGCAACAAGACGTTAGCGGGAATAGCGAAGTATTACTACTGGCCCCGGGAGGCAGCAGACGTGCAGCAGTTCGTCACCTCATGCGACACGTGCCAGCGGATGAAGAGTAGCAAGCAGAAAAAAGCAGGGTTACTGCAGCCTCTACCCGTACCGGAGCAGCCATGGCAGGTCGTTAGCCTCGACTTCATCACAGGACTTCCCTCGACCTCACGGGGACACGATTCCATCCTCGTAGTAATCGATAAGTTCTCCAAAATGGGTCATTTTATTCCGACCAACGCCACGGCCACTGCTGACGCAACTGCTCGCCTCTTCTTCGACCGCATCATCACCATCCACGGCATCCCCGCTACACTTATCTCAGACAGAGACCCAAAATTCACAAGTAAGTTCTGGAAGGAGCTTATGGGACTGCTGGGGACCAAGCTTGCCATGTCTTCAGCATACCATCCCCAAACTGCAACAAACGGAGCGACTCAACCAGGTGGTTGAACAGTTACTGCGTACAGCTTGCAAAGACGACATCAGCCACTTGTCAAACATTATATATGTTGTGTTTGTGTAGGCTGTAGTGGGTTAGCCTATAGGGGGGTCACAACATTAGGGTTTCATATTTGTACTCACAATCCTTTCTAGTTCATCATTCCAGTCCGTTATCACTGACATGGTTTCAGAGCAGGTCCGTCGCTAGGACTGTTCTTAGGGCCCACCTACCTACCTACCTACCTACCTACTGTGCGCCTCGTGCGCCTGCGCGTCCTAGAGCGCTCCTTACCTACCTACCACGCGCACGCAGCTCGCTAGCCGCCCGCGCGTGGCTTTCCTTTTTTTTTCACCGCGCGCGCCGTACTAGCCGCTCGCGCGCGGCCGTTTTCACGCGTGCGCCCCGCCAGCTGCCCGCGCGCGCTTTATTTTCTTCGCGCGCGGCCCGTCACGCTGCCTCCCCGCTGCCCGCGCGCCTTTGCGCTGCTGCCCGTGCGCCTCGTGGCCTAGTGCACTGCCCGCTGCCCTGTGCGCCACGCTGACGCACCCGCTGCTGCAGCCGCCCGTCGCCTGCTCGTGCACGCCCCGCAGGCCCGCAGCCCGCCGTCGCAGAGGCCGCCCGTCCGCAGCCGCCCGTCGCCTGCTCGCGCACGCCCCGCAGCCGCCCGTCGCCTGCTCGCGCACGCCCCGCAGCCGCCCGTCGCCTGCTCGCGCACGCCCCGCTGCCCGCAGCCGCCCGTGCGCCGCTGCCACTGCCGCACGTGCGCATACGCAGCTGCCGCCCGTGCGCTGCTTCCGCTGCTGCTTGCGCACCGCCGCCTCCTGCCGTCGCCGCACGTGCACTGCTGCCGCCCGTGCGCCGCCGCTGCCCGTGCGCCGCCGCTGCCCCTACGCTACCGCTGCCAGTGCGCCGCCACTGCCCGTGCGCCGCTGCTGCCCGTGCGTCGCTGCCGCTCGTGCACATACGCCGCTGCTGCCCGAGTGCTGCTGCCGCTGCTACTTGTGCACCGCTCGCAGCCGCTGCCGCCCGTGCGCTTCTGCAGCCGCCGCCCGCGAGGCGCTCGCTCCCACTGTTTTTTTTTTTTTTTTTCTACCTACCGCGCAACTGCTGCCACTGCAGCTGCCACCAGTGCGCCGTTGCAGCTCCTGCTGCCACGCTCCCTACTACTGCCGCTCGTGTGCCACTACGGACAGTCGACCCCGCCCGCGCCTTACCTAGCGGCCCCGCCGGTCCCGTTGACCCTACGCACACCTTTCCAGCGGCCTAGTTCCTACTCCTACTACTGTCACTATGGCTAGTCCTCCCGTTCTAGCTTTCGATGCCGAGGGCCGTCCGGTGAAGTTCGAAACCTGGCTAGATGACCTGCACCTGTTCCTACAGCTCACTGCCAAGGAAGACATCTCGCTGTACGACCACGCCCTAGGCCATGCTACTGCCCCTGACACGTCTGCTGACAGCACTCTACGCTCTCAGTGGCAGACTCGTGATGCGCACGCTCGCTTTGCTATTCGCAACTCCCTGCCGCTAGACGAGCGCGAGCACTTCGGCCAGTGCAAGACTGCTAAGGACCTCTACACCGCTGTAGTTGCCCGTTACTCCTCACCCGCTTCTGCTACGCTAGGCCGCCTCACTCTCCCCTACCTGTTCCCCGACCTAGCCTCCTTTCACACTGTCGCAGACCTCATCACCCACCTTAAGACTAGTGAGGCCCGCTTTCGCGCTGCTATGCCTGCCGAGTTTCTCACTAGCAACCCCCCCCCGCTCTGGATCACTCTCTACCACATCGTCACCCGCCTCCCTGACTCTCTGCGCGCAGTCAGGGACCACTTCCTCTCTCGCTCCCCCACTGAGCTCACTGTTGCCCTCCTCGAGAAGGAACTGCTTGCAGCTGAGGCGAGCATCGTCGCTGTAGGCACCTCTCGTGGCGACCCCCGCACCCCGTTCTTCGAGGGGTGTTCCCCTTCCCCCCTCCTCCCCTCTGTCGCCTCTGCTGCTGCTGTCGACCTCCTTGGTGCTGAGAAGGTCGGGACCGCGTCTGCTTCGAGCGGGCGCCGCAGGAGCAAGGGAGGCAGGGGTGGGGGTGGTGGCGGAGGAGGTGGGGGTGGAGGCGGTGGGAGTGGAGGCGCGACTGGGGAGGCTAGTGGCGGCAGTGGGGGAGGAGACAGCAGCGGCGGGAGCGGTGGCAGGGGTGGAGGCGGCAGCGGAGGTGGAGGTGGTCGTGGCGGCGGCAGGGGTGGAGGTGGCCGAGGCGGTGGTGGTGGCGGTGGTGGTCGTGGAGGCACTGGCGGAGGCCCGAGTCAGCAGCCCGCCCCGACGCTTCAGGCCGCCCGTGAGTGGTATGCGCAGCGTGGCTTTACCTGCACGTACGTCATTCGCACAGGTGACCGCAGCGGCCAGCAGTGTGGGAGGCCGCACCCCACGCACCGCTGCTTCGCGCGCCTTAACGACGCGTGGCGCACCCAGTTTCCTGATGCCGCTGAGCTGCCGCGCTGGGCTGATCTGGAAAAGAGGGGTGTTGATATTTGGGCTCTAGACTTTGATGCTATTCTCACTGCCATGTATGCCATGTCTATTAGTGGAGAGGGTGCTCAGTACTTGCGTGTTCCGCCCGACCCGGGCATTCAGGCCAGTCCGGCTGCCGCTCTAGGTGCTAGTGCGTCTGCTCCCACAGGTCCTGGTGAGGCTGCTGCCCTAGGTGCTAGTGCGTCCGTGCCCCCTGGTACTGAGTTGACTGCAGCACTGCACACCTTCACACTGGACTCAGGTGCCTCTCGCTCTTTCTTTCGTGACCGCACTGTCCTTGAGCCACTCGCTCGGCCAGTTGCTGTCTCCCTTGCTGACCCCTCTGGGGGTCCGGTCATTGCGACCTCCTCCACTGTTCTTCCTTGTCCTGCGGTCCCGTCCGGCACGCTTTCAGGTCTCTACCTCCCCTCGTTCTCTACGAACTTGGTGGCGGGTTGTGCGCTCCAGGACTCGGGTGTTCACCAGTTCACCCCTGCCTACGAGCGCGTGACACACTGCACGTGTGCTCGGACGGGTCGCCACCTGGCTACTTTCACTCGAGAGCCGGGGTCGGACCTGTACACACTGACCACTGAGTCCCCTCAGGTAGCTGCGTCTGCGTCTACGTCTGCGTCTGCGTCAGGTCAGCTGTCCGCCCCCTGCTCGTGTCGCTCTCTGGCGCATGAGACTGTCCTTTGGCACCACCGCCTTGGTCACCCGTCTGTGCAGCGCCTTCGGGCCATGCACAAACGGGACCTTGTTGCTGGTCTTCCCAGGGTGCTCCCTCCCCTTCCCGACTCGCCTGCTCCTCCCTGTATTCCCTGTGTCGAGGGGCGGCAGCGCGCCGCTCCTCACTCCTCCTCCTTTCCCCCGACGACTGCTCCCTTGCAGACGCTCCACTTGGACGTGTGGGGCCCAGCCCGCGTCCGTGGACAGGGTCAGGAGCGGTACTTCCTGCTCGTTGTTGACGACTTCTCGCGCTACACCACGGTCTTCCCCTTGCGAGCCAAGGGTGACGTACCTGATGTCTTGATCCCTTGGATCCGCAGATCTCGTCTCCAGCTCACCAGGCGTTTCCGCTCCGACTTTCCTGTCCTGCGTCTGCACTCTGACAGAGGTGGGGAGTTTTCCTCTGGCCTCCTGGAGGCCTTCTGTCAGCAGGAGGGCATTGAGCAGTCGTTCACGCTTCCGGCCTCTCCACAGCAGAATGGGGTTGCTGAGCGCCGCATTGGTCTAGTCATGGAGGTCGCTCGTACCTCCTTGAGTCATGCGGCTGCCCCCCATTTTCTGTGGCCGTTTGCGGTCCATTCAGCTCAACCTCTGGCCCCGTGTCTCCTTGCCCGAGACTTCTCCGACACTACGTTGGACGGGAGAGGCTGGCGATGCGTCGCGTTTTCGGGTCTGGGGATCCCGAGCTTTTGTCCGCGACACGTCCGCGGACAAGCTCTCCCGTCGCGCTGTCCCCTGCGTCTTCCTTGGCTTTGTCCCGGACGCCCCTGGTTGGCAGTTCTACCACCCCACCTCGCGTCGTGTCCTGGCCTCTCAGGACGTCACTTTTGACGAGTCCGTCCCCTACTACCGCCTCTTCCCCTACCGCACTGCCCCGCTCCCCCCCCCCCTCTCTTCCTCGCTCCAGGTGCTGAGGTACCAGACCCCCTCCCCCCTCAGGGTGCCGCTCCCTCAGGTGTGTCCCAGGTAGACCCGGGTGAGCCTGTCGAGGTAGCTGTTGACTCTCGTCCTGCGTCTGGGGGTGCTGAGCCTGGGGGTGCTGAGTCTGGGGGTGTTGAGCCTGGAGGTGCGGAGCCTGGCGGTGCGGAGCCTGGAGGTGCTGAGCCTGGGGGTGCGGAGTCTGGGGGTGCTGAGTCTGGGGGTGCTGAGCCTGAGCGTGCTACACCTGGAGGAGCCCTCTCCTCCCAGCAGCTGCAGGAGAGGTACCTCGAGTACTGCCGCCTCCGGAGAGGTGCTGCTGGAGCTCGTCCCGGTACTTCCCCTCCTACCCAGGAGCTCCCCCCCATTCAGCAGATCCGAGAGTGGTACACACGCCGCTGCAGTCTTCGGAGTGGTCCTCCGGGTGCTGCGGACCCTGGGGGTGGCGCTGCTGCTGGTGCTGAGGACCCGGGCGTTGGAGCTTCTGCTGGTGCTGAGGACCCGGGCGCTGGAGCTGCTGCTGGTGCTGAGGACCCGGGCGGTGGAGCTACTGCTGGTGCTGAGGACTCGGACGTTGGAGCTACTGCTGGAGCTGAGGACCCGGCTGGTGGAGTTGCTGCTGGTGCTGCGGACCTAAGCGGTGGCGCTGCTGCTGGTGCTGCGGACCCGGGCGTTGGAGCTACTGCTGGAGCTGAGGACCCGGACGGTGGAGCTGCTGCTGGTGCTGGAGACCCGGACGTTGGAGCTGCTGCTGGTGCTGAGGACCCTGCCGTTCGTGTCTCTGCTGGTTCTGGAGACGCTACGAGGCCGCGACCGTACTTCGTACCACTTCTTCAGCAGGTTCTTGGTCAGGCTCCTCCTCCTTGTCCTCCTCCCTCTGTAGAGTGTCCTCCGTCTGTCCAGTCGCAGTCACAGTTCCCGCCTGCCTCGCCTCTCCCTGCTCCCTCTCCTTACACTGGTCCCACAGGAGGTCTTACAGAGCGTCGTGAGCCTGAGTCTCGTCCTGCGTCGCCTGTTCGTACTGCTCGCACTGGTCGTCGTGTCCCACGTGAGCGTCCTCCTCCTGTCCCTGGCACTCACTACATGACTCTGCGTCCCTCCACTGCTCCTCAGCGTGTCCCGCTACCGTCTCCTCCTGCGTCCTCTCTACCTACTCTTCCTGACCCGGAGTCTGACTCCCGTCGTGCTGCCAGTCCCACTGTCACGCGTCTTCTCGCCACAGTTGTCACTGACCCTACCTTTGAGTCCTCTGCTGCGTCTGCTCTGGTCGCTGAGTTGATAGACTTTGCTGCCCGGTGTCGTCTAGACTACGCCACTAGCCTTGTTGCCGAGTCTGAGTCTGAGTCTGTCTGTCCTCCGTCCGTCAGGGGTGAGTGTGCTCTTGGCACGGACGTCCTTGAGGACAGACAGGAGGAGTTCCAGTGCTTTGCTGCTGCTTTGCCCCACCTCGTGTCCATGCTAGTTGCCCCTGAGGGAGACCCGGATGCACCAGACATCCCGACCCCGCGCACTTACGCTGAGGCGATGGCGGGTCCCTACTCCTCTCAGTGGCAGACAGCCATGGACGCAGAGATGGCTTCCTGGAAGTCCACACGCACCTACGTCGACGAGGTTCCCCCACCTGGGGCGAACATCGTCAGTGGCATGTGGATTTTCAGGGTGAAGCGGCCACCGGGTTCTCCTCCTGTCTTCAAGGCGCGCTACGTGGCTCGAGGCTTCAGTCAGCGAGAGGGAGTTGACTTCTTTCAGACCTTCTCCCCCACCCCGAAGATGACCACTCTTCGGGTGCTGCTGCACATAGCCGCTCAGCGCGACTACGAGCTTCACTCACTTGACTTCAGCACTGCTTTCTTGCAGGGCAGCCTGCACGAGGAGATCTGGCTGCGCCGCCCTCCTGGCTTCACTGGGTCGGTTCCTCCTGGTACCCAGTAGAGGCTTCAGCGGCCGGTCTACGGTCTCCGCCAGGCACCGCGTGAGTGGCACGACACACTGAGGACGACACTTGCGGCTCTTGGGTTCGCTCCCTCTACTGCTGACCCGTCACTGTTTCTACGCACAGACACCTCACTGCCGCCGTTCTACATTCTCGTGTACACCGCGGCACTTGCCCACGTGAAGTCGGAGCTACAGAGGAGACACACGTGCACAGACCTGGGTGAACTGACAAGCTATCTTGGCTTGCGGATCACCCGGGACAGAGCACGGCGCACCATCACCTTGACTCAGTCACATATGGTGCAGCAGATCCTTCAGCGCTTCCGCTTCACGTACTCCTCGCCTCAGTCCACTCCTCTGCCTACCGGTCACTCGCTCTCAGCTCTGCCTTCGGATGAGTCCGTAGAGCCGAGTGGCCCGTATCCAGAGCTTGTGGGCTGCCTCATGTACCTGATGACCTGCACTCGACCTGACCTTGCATACCCTCTTAGCATCCTTGCACGCTATGTCGCTCCTGGCCGTCACAAGAAGGAGCACATGGATGCCGCTAAGAGGGTGTTGCGCTACTTGTGCAGTACGTCGGGCATGGGGCTAGTGCTTGGAGGGCGAGACCGAGTTGTACTTACTGGACACTCAGACGCTTCTTGGGCGGACGACCAGGCTACTCAGCGGTCGTCTCAGGGTTACACCTTCAGCCTTGGCTCCGGCTCAGTTTCTTGGCGTTCTACACGCTCTTCTTCTGTTCTCAGCTCCAGTTGTGAGGCTGAGATCTACGCCACAGCCATGGCTGCCCAGGAGCTACGCTGGCTGACCTACCTGCTGACCGACTTGGGTGAGCGGCCTCGTTCTCCTCCAGTACTGTACGTCGACAACCAGGCTGCCATTGCCTTGTGTGAGGAGCACAGACTGGAGCACAGAACGAAGCACATCGCCCTGCGGTACTTCCTTGCTCGAGAGCTGCAGCAGCGCGGTCAGCTTTGTCTGCGTTACGTGGCCACTGAGGCCAACCTTGCTGATGTGTTCACCAAGGCGCTTCCGCCTTGTGACCATCAGCGCTTCTGCACTCTGCTAGGCCTTGTGCCTACTGGACCTCACTTACTTACCTCTTGACCTTGCTTGTACTGTGATCACTATATATATATCTACCTGCATGTCTACTCATGCTCTGTTATAAACCTGCATGTGAACTGGTCTTGTGACCACTAGCTTGTGCTCGGAATTTGTGTGGTATCCTTGAGATCCACCCTGAGCTTGTTGTTGCCTTGCTTTGCCTTGACTGGTCTTGTGACCCCTAGGTCTCCCCCACTTTGCCTATGGGGGTGTGTCAAACATTATATATGTTGTGTTTGTGTAGGCTGTAGTGGGTTAGCCTATAGGGGGGTCACAACATTAGGGTTTCATATTTGTACTCACAATCCTTTCTAGTTCATCATTCCAGTCCGTTATCACTGACACCACTGGGATACACAGTTACCAACCCTAGAGTTCGCTTACAACAACGCCTCGCATGCGGCCACAGGGAAAACCCTTTTTTTCCTGTGTTACGGACGGGAACCACTCACACCACAGCAGCCGACCACACCGGCACACGTCCAAGCCGCACACGACTTCGTCACCACCATGCAGCAGCTATGGGAGAAGACTCAGCGACGTCTCACCACGATGCAGAACTCCCAGAAGCAGTATGCCGATCGTCAGCGACGAGATCACTCAGTAGCAGTCGGAGATCAGGTGCTTCTTGACACGCGCAACTTGAACCTGTCTCACCTACCATCCAAACTCCGGCCTCGCTTCTGTGGTCCTTTTCTCGTGGAGGCACAGGTGACACCAGTTACATTCCGCTTGTGCTTACCAGATATGTGGAAGCTTCACAATGCTTTCCATGTTCAGCTACTGAAACCCTACAAGGACCCCAACCAACAGTTCCAGGGATGGCAGCTATGGCCACCTCCACCTATTCTTGTGCAGGATGAACCAGAGTACGAGATCGAGCGCGTTCTCACTCATCGGCGCCGCGGCGGCAAGACCCTCGAGTTCCTGATACGCTGGAAGGGATACGACCCCACTGAGGACAGTTGGGTTGCAGAAGCTGATATGGGCAACGCACGCCGTGCTCTCAAGGACTATCTTGTCAAGCAGGGTGTATCTCACGCCACCCAGCTTTGAGGGGGAGACGTGTGAGAGTACGACGGCTCATGCCAGCTTTGCATGCTTTCTTTTATCTTATTATCCTATTGCTAGCTTAAGATTATTTTATGCATGCACGAATTGCTTGATTTCCTAGGCTAGGTGCTTTCCTATATTTTATTATAGTTATAGCACCGAGCTAGGTTGCGTACACCGAATTCTGAGCTATTCGGTTGCCACCGAATTGCTTTCTACCGAATTCGGGAAGGGTCTGTTCGGGACGCTTCGCGACCCCCAGAACCTTCGCGTAACACCTGGTTACTGCCCCTTGTGTCGAGCCTATATATAGCCTCGTGTTGTACCCAGGTGATCATTCAATTCAAACTCTCTTTTCTGAGCTCGATCCTAGATCCTCACAAGAAAGAAGCTGGTTTTATGTTAAATTTTGCAGACAGAGTGTCTGCGTACTTGGCAGCGGAGAGGTGAATGGAGTTGGCTGCGTAGGAGATGTTGAGACCCAAGAACTGCTGAGATGATGAGACCCAAGAACTGTTTGACATGAACGGTGGTGGTAATTTCCACGCGGTTACTGAGATTTTTCTCGAATTGGTCGAGAAGATTGGATTGGTCTTCATGTGGAGATGATCATTGATGTAGGCGGTAAGGAGTATGTACTCGCCGTAAAAAAGGAGGCCATACATGCCGGGGTCGTGGGGCAGATGGGTCAAACCAATGTCGGTGAGGATTTGGTGAAGGTGCTGCTGCCAGAGTCGGGGTGCTTGTCTAATGGCGTAAAGGGATTTCTTGAGCTGGCACATGCGGTCGTCGCCATCGACGTAAGTGTGAGGTTGCCCAACGAAGATGAGTGCATTCACATGTGCGTACAGAAAACCATTTTTAACATCGATTTGATGGAGCGGGAGATGATTTACGGCAGCGATGGCAGGAGGATGCGGATGGAGGTATGGTGGCAGACAAGGGCGATTGTTTGGTCGAAGCCGATTCCATAAATTTGGTCGAAGCTGCGTACAACCCAACGAGCTTTGAATCGTTCGATTGTTCCATCGGCAACGTTCTTGAAGCGGAACATCCGTTTTCCAGACAGGACACGTCTCCCCTTCAAGGCGACACGATCGGCAAGAACTTAGGTCTTACGTGCTTCTAGCACGGCGACTTCGGCATTCATTGCTGCAAACCATTCCTTGCTATGGGGGCCGGTGAGTGCTTATCTCGAGGTTTTGTGTTCAACCGTTTTCAGCGGATGGGAGACGGCGGTGTGGAGACCAAGGAGCTGGAGGCCGGAGAGGCCGGGGCTATGCTGCTGCTCGCTGGTAACCTCCACGACATCGTCGTCTGAGTGATTACCGCTGAATGGGATGGGGCTCAATAGGAAAATGAGAACTCTAGCCACCATTATAAGCTAGCAACTGCCGCTGCAGTTTGCTAGCTACTGTTGCTACCAAGTACCTGCTAGATTGAGGGGGAGAATAACACAAACATGAATGAAATGATATCAGAGTTCAGCACAGTAGCTGAAAACAGAGGGCAGCACAAGTGGAAGTAGGCATACGAGGACAAGGTTCTACAAAGTACAAGGCACCATTACAATATGGAGCAAAGGAGGGAGATAGCTGGAGACTCATTCACCTTGGTACTGCACGTGCTGTTGGTAGCCGCTCACCCCGCGCTGCTGGTACTACTCCAGTGCGCCACCAGCCGAGGCTACAGCTCGTGCGCCGCTTAGCTACATGGCGTGAGAGGAAACTGCAGGCCGCCAGGCACTGAAGATGCTGTGTGCCACCAGCTGCTGCTTCTGCAAGTGCAGCCCGCCAAGTGCTGCTGTCTGCCAGGTGCTGCTGTCCACCAGGTGCTGGTGTACGCCAGTTGTAGCTGCTTCCATGCGCCACCTGGTGTAAGCGAGCAGCACAGGGTGACATAAAGCAGCACAGCGTCACGAGGAGTAGCACAGGGCAATATGGAGCAGCACAGGGTAATATGGAGCAGCACCGGAGCGAGCACGGGGTAACATGTGTTAAACAGTCAGGTTTGACTTAGCATCACTTAAAAGGGGCGCAAGCAACGTTCAACCAAACCAATAAGATTCAAACTAGGAGCACCTCACCTCGGCAGGAAGGAGAAAACCATGCCCCATGAGCTGTAGCGGTGCTCCAAGAGTTGCAGCGGTGCGCGAGGAATTGAACCGCCAATAATGTAGCCGCTGCGTCCGCCGCCAGGAGCAGCTGCGAGCAGTTAGGTTATGCTGCTGCCGAGCGCTGCCAACAGCTACTACCGTATGCCATCTGCATAGGAGTAACAGATCGAGGGTATTAGTCAGTTGGGGTGAGTAAAATGCGAGTGGAAGGTGACTCTCTTCGTCAGGAGAAGTTGTGAGCAACTTCCGTCGGTCGTCTTACCCGTCGTGCGGCAGGTCATCTGCAGTTGTAGGGGAAGACCGCGGCAATCGCTGGTAGGTGTTGTCAGCTACTGCAGTCACGTGAAAGCTACAGCTGCCGCATGTCAAGAAGCCACTTCAGGCACTGCAGCAACGCACCAGATCCTGCAGCATGCAGGTCGTCATACACAGGAGTTGTTGCAGACGCGCGACACAATGCCATGCAATTGCATGCCAAAGCTGCAACCGTCGCCAGGGAACAAGCCACTGAAATCGCTAAGCAAAACTGCAGCAGAACGCAGCCGCGCTGATCTGCAGCAGTCGCGTGACCAAAGAAACTGGCACGGGCCAACCACTGAAGTTACACGCAACTGCTGCATGTCGCGCGACTGCTACTAACGCGAATTATATCAGCCTTATGCAACAAACAGCAGCAGTTGCGCAAAGGGGAAGCATCTTGGGCTTCTACTAGGTCGCGCTATAGCAGCTAAGGTTGGGATTAGGTTGCCAAACAGCAGCCATGGCGACAGCGTTAGATCGGGAAGAGGTGCAAGACCCTGATACAATCGATCGGGAATGAGTCTGACTGATGAAATTGGAGGACCCCTGCTGGGCGAGAAACGATAGATTGTGGGGAGGAACGAGAAACAAGGCACGACACTGATGGAACCACCTGCGAAGCAAGACGTGCACCTGCACAAGTTGGAACGTGCGGCACAAAACGTAACTACGGTTCCCGCTGACACCTTTTCAACAGAACGTGCAAAACTCTAGTGTAGTAGTATACATTCAATCATTCCGTGACCAGCGCCACCACCTCAATTCCCGCCGCAATCAACGCCGCCACCAACATTCAAATGTTAATCACCTCCTCATAACTCATCCTCCATAGAATTAAGCCAAGTAAAAAAATATAAAAAATGTAAGATAATATTAATGTTGTTAGATTTTATTGTAGTACTCTTTTAAAGTCTCCAGGTCCCACAATAATTGTACAATTATTCTAGGGCCAGAATTTTTGAAGTCTAGAATTATTGGAGGGTAAGAATTATTGGCGGGTAGAATTATTGGTATGGCATTATTGGTGTGGATGGGACCATCATGAGGGGGTTAGCTGGTTAGATAAATATCATGCTCTGTCAAACCTTATCATCAATCAATTCCATTGCAAACCTTTCACTTCTACTCTGTTATACAATCAAGCTTCCGCTACGTTGGCACTATGCCTTTCTAGCACTTACATCCCTAGTTAGTGTAGTATCAATCTAGGTTACTACATGTTGGTGGTGTACCCCTCTTTGCCACCTTCCCCTTGCCCTATATCTTGTACTCTCTTTTTATAGATGAACCCCCTTCGTGATACTATTTATCAGAATCACTAGGCAAGAATGATTGAACTAGCAGAAGTTTGGGTACAAATATGAAACCCTAGTTGGGGTTGTACCCCATATTGGCTACCCCACTACAGCCTACAAGCATAATACAGTTTAACACACCCCCATAGGCAAAGTGGGGGAGAACAAAGGGTCACAAGACCAGTCCAGCAAAGCAAAGCAAAGCCCAGGGTGGATCACAACGTCACCACACTCCGAGCACAAGTAAAGGCCACAAGGCCAGTTCACATGCAGTGCTAGATATAGTACAAGACAAGCAACACAGTGATCAAAACCTAGCAAGCAAGCAACAAGATATATATAAAGTACAGTACAAAAAATGTCAAGCAGTGAGCAAGTGAGGAAACGTGGACACAAGGCCTAAAGAAGTACAGTGCCGCTGATGATCACTAGGCGGGAGCGCCTTGGTGAAGATATCAGCAGTGTTGGCCTTCGAGTCCACGTACACAAGCCGAAGCTGACCGCGCTGCTGAAGCTCTCGAGCAAGAAAGTAGCGAAGAGCAATGTGCTTCGTCCTGTGCTCCAGTCTGTGCTCCTGACACAAGGCAAGAGCCGCCTTGTTGTCACCGTACAGAACTGGAGGAGAACTAGGCCGCTCTCCCAAGTCAGTCAGCAGGTAGGTGAGCCAGCGTAACTCCTGTGCAGCCATGGCTGTGGCGTAGATCTCAGCCTCACAACTAGAGCCGAGAACAGAGGAAGAGCGGGTGGACCGCCACGAGACAGAACCAGAGCCAAGGCTGAAGGTGTAACCCTGTGACGACCGCTGCGTAGCCAGGTCGTCCACCCAAGAAGCGTCCGAGTGACCAGTGAGGACAACTCTGTCGCGTCCTCCAAGCACCAGCCCCATGCCTGATGTACTGCACAAGTAACGCAGCACCCTCTTAGCAGCCTCCCAGTGCTCTCGCCTGTGTCTCCCAGGCGCAACGTAACGAGCAAGGATGCTAAGAGGGTACGCGAGGTCAGGTCGCGTGCAAGTCATCAGGTACATGAGGCAGCCTACAAGCTCTGGGTACGGGCCACTCGGCTCTACGGACTCGTCCGAAGGTGGAGCTGAGAGTGAGTGGCTGGTAGCCAGAGGTGTGGCCTGTGGTGAGGAGAACTGGAAGCCGAAGCGCTGAAGGACCTGCTGCACCATGTGTGACTGAGTCAGGGTGATGGTGCGGCGAGCTCTGTCCCGGGTGATCTGCAAGCCAAGGTAGCTACGCAATTCACCCAGGTCAGTGCAGGTGTGTCTCTTCTGCAGCTCCGACTTCACACGAGCGAGTGCCTCAGTGTCAGCAGTAGCAAAGACCAAGTCGTCGACGTACACGAGAATGTAGAACGGCGGCAGCGACGTGTCTGTGCGCAGAAACAGCGACGGGTCAGCAGTAGACGGTGCGAACCCAAGAGCCGCAAGTGTAGTCCTCAGTGTGTCGTGCCACTCACGTGGCGCCTGGCGGAGACCGTAGACTGGCCGGCGGAGACTCCACTGGGTACCAGGGGGAAACGACCCAGTAAAGCCAGGTGGGCGGCGCAGCCAGATCTCCTCGTGCAGGCTGCCCTGCAGGAACGCTGTGCTGAAGTCAAGAGAGTGAAGCTCGTAGTCACGCTGAGCAGCAACGTGCAGCAGAACCCGAAGAGTGGTCATCTTCGGGGTGGGGGAGAAGGTCTGGAAGAAGTCGACCCCCTGACGCTGACTGAAGCCTCTAGCAACGTAACGAGCCTTGAAGACAGGCGGAGAACCTGGCGGCCGCTTCACCCTGAAAATCCACATGCCATCGACGATGTTCGCCCCAGGAGGGGGAACCTCGTCGACGTAGGTGCCTGTGGACTTCCAGGATGCCATCTCTGCGTCCATGGCTGTCTGCCACTGAGAGGAGTAGGGACCCGAGATCGCCTCTGCATAAGTGCGCGGAGTGGGGATGTCTAGTGCATCCGGGTCTCCCTCAGGGGCAAGCAACCAGGCCACGAGATGAGGTACAGCAGCCGCAAGAGAGTCAAAGTCCTCCTGCCTGTCCTCAAGGACGTCCGTGCCAAGAGCACACTCACCCCCGACGGACGGAGGACAGACAGACGCAGACTCTGACTCAGCAACAAGGCTAGCAGCGTAGTCTAGACGACAGGCAGCAGCAAAGTCAACCAACTCAGCGACCAGAGCAGACGCAGCCGAGGACTCAAAGGTAGGGTCAGTGACAACAGTAGCTAGGAGACGCGTGACTGTAGGGTGCTCAGCGCGATACCGGTCAGACTCAGGGTCCGGAACGGCAGGCAAAGAGGACGCAGGAGGAGACGGTAGAGGGACACGCCGAGGAGCAGTGGAGGGACGCAGAGTCATGTAGTGAGTGCCTGGGACAGGAGGAGGACGCTCACGACGGACACGACTACCAGTGCGAGCAGGACGAACAGGCGACGCAGGACGAGACTCAGGCTCACGACGCTCTGTAAGACCTCCTGTGGGACCAGCGTAAGGAGAGGGAGCAGGGAGAGGCGAGGCAGGCGGTAACTGTGACTGCGGCTGGACAGGCGGAGGACACTCTACGGAGGGAGGAGGACAAGGAGGAGGAGCCTGCCCAAGAACCTGCTGAAGGAGCGGTACGAAGTACGGTCGCGGCCGCGCAGCGTCTCCAGAAGCAGAAGAGACTCCAGCGGCCGGGTCCTCAGGACCAGTAGGAGCTCCAACGTCCGGGTCCCCAGCACCAGCAGCAGCGCCACCGCTCGGGTCCTCAGCTCCAGCAGCAGCTCCACCAGGCGGGTCCGCAGCACCAGCAGCAGCGCCACCCCCAGAGTCGGCAGCTCCAACTCCGCTAGCACCGCCAGCGCCAGAGTCCCCAGCTCCAGCAGCTCCAGTCGCAGTGCTCCCAGAACAACCAGTCCCGGCAGCTCCAGTACCCCCAGTACGAGCACCCCCAGGACGAGCAGCCCCAGCACCCCCAACTCCAGCCGAGCCACTAGGACGGCGAAAGCGCCGGACGTACCAGTCACGAAGCTGCTGCGGTGTGAGAGACTGCTCAGCACCCCGAACCGGAGCACCCCCAGACGCAGTAACCCGAGGCTCCGTAGGCTCAGTAGCAGCACCCCCAGGCTCAGTACCCGCAGGCTCAGTACCCGCAGGCTCAGCACCCCCAGTCGCAGCACCCCCAGGCTCAGCACCCCCAGGCGGCAAACTCTCAGGCACAGTACCCTCAGCTCCAGCACCCGCAGTCCCAGCACTCCCAGGCCCCGCACCCGCAGGCTCAGCACCCCCAGGCTCAGCACCCCCAGGCTCCGTACTCTCAGGCACCGTACCCTCAGCTCCAGCACCCTCAGTCCCAGCACCTGCAGCCCCAGCACCCCCAGGCCCAGCACCCCCAGGCTCAGCACCCCCAGGCTCAGCACTCCCAGCAGCACCACCCGCAGCAGCACCTGAGTCACCTGTGACCTCGACAGGCTCAGCGACGGGAGGAGGGTCTACCTGAGAGACACCTGAAGGAGCAGGACCCTGAGGGGGAAGGGGGTCTACCGGAGGGGGACCAGGAGCAAGGAAAAGCGGCGGGGGAGGGAGGGGGGCAGTGCGGTAGGGGAAGAGACGGTAAAAAGGGACCGACTCGTCAAAGGTGACATCCTGAGAGGCGAAGACCCGGCGCGAGGTGGGGTGGTAAAACTGCCAGCCAGGCGCGTCAGGGACAAAGCCAAGGAAGACACAGGGAAGCGTGCGGGAGGAGAGCTTGTCCGCGGACGTATCGCGGACAAGGGCACGAGCACCCCACACCCGGAAGCGCGACGCATCGCCAACCTCCCCCGTCCAACGCAGTGTGGGCGAGGTCTCCGGCAAGGAGACACGGGGCCAGAGGTTGAGCTGATGCGCGGCGTACCGGACAGCA